TATCTCCTCAGAGACCGATTCAATACCCTGAGATCTATAATCGGGCGCAACCCCCCATCCTTCTTGGGAACTATGAAGTACCGGCTGTAGAACCCGGTCTCCCAATCTTGAGGAGGAACACGTTCTATGGCCTCCTTTGCCAAGAGGGACTGAACTTCCTGTTCCATAACCTGACCCTGCTCTGGTTTGACCAGCGTGTGAACCACTCCGCTGAATCGAGGTGGACGATATTCGAACTGAATTCTGTACCCCTTTTCTACCGTGAGCAGGACCCATTGAGATATATTTGAAGACCCTTCCAGGTGTCTAAATAATCCACTAAGGGAATCAGTCTCTCGGGACTGACCTCTGGTCTTATAGTAGAGATATCGGTGACCTGAAGCATTTGATTGGCAGGAACTAACCGATTTAATTTTTCTGCAGACCTCTTGAGAGGGAACACAATGCGCGGAGCCGTCAATTTTACGGGCGGACTCTGCACCTTGCATTCGCTGGAAACCGATGCGTCCCGAAGCGCACGTAGCGGCGGGCAGCATACATCGATTTCCTGAGGGCTCCGTGAAGGAGCGAGCTGTTGTTGCTCGATCACGGAGGGGACCACCCTCAGAGGCCTGCGCAACACGTCAGGACCTCTTTGATGAAGCCTTCCTAGCCTGAATGACAGTCCTCAGATCTGCCCTAGGGTTGGAAGACTTCGATTGAGAGTGTTGCCCCTGGCTCCAGGCCTTTTTCGGGGGAGCACGAGAGGCAACACTCTCTCTCTGCAGCTGCAGGCGTGAGGAGCTGGCGGCTGCCTCATGGGACTGCCCCCTGGCAGCAGACCCATGAGACTTAGAACGACGGCGGGGGATAAGGTGTTTTAATGCGGCTGACTGTCGTTTCGATTCCTGGTACCTCTCGACGACAGTGTTGACTGCGTCGCCGAAGAGGCCAGTAGGCGAAATCGGGGCATCGAGGAGGAAAGCCCTGTCTTTATCCCCGATGCCCGACAGATTCAGCCACAGGTGTCTCTCCGTAGCTACCAATGCTGCTAGAGAACGGCCGATGGCGCGGGCCGTCTCTTTGGTAGCACGGAGAGACAAGTCCACCGTACGACGCATCTCGCGGATGTCGTCGTAGGCGACCTCCCCGCTGTCGTCCACTTCCTTTAGGAGGTCGGCCTGGTATGCCTGCAACAGCCCCATAGTATGCAGGCATGCACCAGCCCGACCTGCCGCCATATATGCTTTCCCAACCAAGGCCGAGGTGGTACGGCAGGGCTTGGAGGGAAGCGCCGGAGCTCTCAGGGACGACGCAGCATCGGGCGAGAGGTGGTTAGCAAAAGCCTCTTCAACCCGCGGCATCGTCCCGTAGCCCCTCTCTCTCGACCCCATGATTGACGAATATAAATGTACATCGGGGCTGGAAAGTCGAGAGGAGAAGGGCTTGTTCCACGATCTCGACACCTCAGTGTGGAGATCGGTGAAGAACGGGAGACTCCGGCGCGAAGGTTGTGCCCGAGTTTGCAGGAAGCGCTCATCAAGTTTACTTTTTTTAGTCGCTTCCTGCACTTCTGGGGGCCAATCGATATTTAATTTGGCCACAGCTCGGGTCACAACCTCCAGCAGCTCCTCAAAGGCAGGGGAATGTGGTGATGGAATATCACATCCCTCTGCCTCGACGCTGAGCACATCTAAATCCTCGGATTCAGATAGCTCAAGCATCGGATCCTCTCTGCGGTCGGGAGAAGCCGCAGGGCGGGCTCCCGAACCGTGAGCGGGACCATGAGAACTGACAGATGAATGCTGAGAAAGGGCCTCAGCCGTCTCAACATTCTCTGTCAGATCCTTCTGCGATCCCCATGAATGCAAGCGCCGCGATGCCTCAACAAACGCGGGACCCGATCCATGGGGAGCGCGAGCCTGGCCTGATTCATCGAACAGGCTCAGGCGGGAGCGGAGCGTTCTCAGGGGCAGTGTTTCACAGTTTGCACAGGCAGCGCCCTCAAGCGCTGCCCGAGCATGCTCCACTCCCAAACAAACCACACAGAGCTCGTGTGTGTCACCCTCGCTTAAATAACGTGGGCAAGGGGACGCACACTGTCTGAAATGCTTTGCACTCTTTTCCTCCATCACAATACCTTGGTTTTACCGAACAAACAACACCAAATAAGACAGACAGATTCACATATAACGCTTGCTGAAGGACAGAAAGCTACTGCTTCCGGGTTCCGGCGCCCTTTTTATAGTTCCGCTCACCGTCACATATGACGTCACGGTTGACGTCATCACGCAGCACCAATCAGGATTGGACTAGTTGGATTCAGGCTTCAGACGCGTCATGCTAAGGGCATTCCCCGTAGTGTCGATTTCGACGCAGCGGAAGTTCCCTCGGAAGGGAACTGTACATTTACTTGTCCGGCACCCGAGGCTTCCCATTTCCAGGACACGCATATTTCATTACTGGACTGTAGTGAGACTTTCACAACATAAATCAGCACAATGCCAAATGATTTTGTCTCGTTATAACAGCAGAAACAACTTAAAATACTCTGTCATTTATTGTCATACAGATAAGCGCAAGACATCATTCGAAACTGTAAAGGTTTTTATTTGTGTACACTCACAATAAAAACAAAACATTGTGCTTTTGTAAAATAAAGAAAACAAACAGGACGCCGCTTTCTGCCGTCCCGTTTTCCTTTTCGTGAAGCTTGTGGAGCGCGTCACAAAAAATAATCGTAACTTAGCAAGCATATAGACCTTATTCAGAGAAGCGCCATGACAGGTATTAAAGCGAGCCTGTGAGGGATAGACTACCTTGTTTTCAATGGCATCTGCTTGGAAAGATATTTTTGCAGTGTTCAAAAACACATTAAAAAACAGTACAACCCACTGAAGAGATATATGTCTCTATCCTTCACTGGCGCTGCTGTGAATAAGGCCTATAGGCTACTAGCAAGCTCTTGCGTGCCATCTGAACTGTTTGGGTTGTGTGACTGACTGTATTCGTCGTCTGACTGTATGCACTGAACCGTGATGTCCATACCGTGGCGGTTCGGGATTAATACATGTACCGTTACACCCCTAATATATATAAACTCAATATTACAAATTACATTTGCACAAATTAGCTTGACTGTGCAAGTCAGAATTTGTAACTCCCATTGTTAATGCGCTCTTACCAAAAACTGCACAAAAAGGGCATCTGAAGCACAAATAATTGACAAAATTCTACAAGAATGTTCTGATTATACTGTTATGTATATGACAGACTGGCACGGCTTGCACTTTATTGTATTTTTATTCATCTTTTTTTTTAAGTCACCCGATCATCGTTTTTTATGATCAATCACTGCTGTCACTTTCAAGTACTTGGGTACTTGTGCCCATACCTAAACCAAATGTTTTGATTCTTTACTATTGTATTGTGAGCTAAATCCACAGAATTTAAGAAACATAAGATAACATTATTATAAGCTTAATTATCTCAAATTCGTAAGTTCACAAGTTTCATATTATCCTTAATCATTTTCATTGTTGGATGCCTCAGAATTTGTTCAAATCCAATCTCTTGAATGTAGAATCTCTCGAGACCTGAGAAACAGTAGAAGCAATGACACGATGTCCCGCTGTGATTGGAGAACTTTTTTTGGAAAAGATCCCTCCCCCACCCCCACTTCCAGACTCACTCAGCTCAGCATCCTCAATGACAGACAGGCGGCTGGACCAATCACGGGACATGATGATGTCCTTAGAGCGTACATTAGGTTTGTTCAACTTAAAGTGATGCTGCGTTTAGAGAACAGACGGCTCTGTATGCTTGTCTGTCTGTCTGTCTGTCTGTCAGCAACCAGTCAGACCTCCCCAGCAACCAGCTCAATCAGCCAGTGTGCTGATCCCCTGCAACGCTTAGCAATCAGCTAGAAAATTCTAGCAGCCAGCTAAGATACCCTAGCAATGCCTAGTAACCAGCCAGAACACCTTAGCAGCTCCCAGCAACCAGCAAGAACAATCTAGCAATGCTTAGCAATAGTCAGAACTCCCCAGCAACCAGCTCAAACACCTTAGCAACCAGCCAGATCACCTTAGCAAACACTTAGCAACCAGCCAGAAAATTCGAGCAGCCAGCTAAGACACCCTAGCAATACTTAACAACCAGTCAGTCAGAATACCTTAGCATCCCAGCTAGAACCATCTATCTAGTTTTTCATTCCATCTTCAGTCTCATTCCCTTCTCCTTCATCTTTTGTTTTCCATCCAAACATCCCCTTTTTCCTGTTGCTTTCTCCGGTCCCTCTCTATCTTTTTGTTTCTCCCCGTTTCTATCTGTCTTTGTGTTTCTCCATCTGCTTCTCTGCCTTCTATCTCTCCTTCTCTCACACACTCTGCAGTACGGGGAGCAGGCGACTTGTGCCAAAAGGAGAAATGCTGCACTGCATTATGAAACACAAATGCACACACGTATGGACACGCACACGTGTACACACACACACACACACACACACACATACATACACACACAGTGACGGCTCTGTAACGGAAAGAGGGATGTAGATCGCTTTGAAAAAAGATTCAGGAGAGAATTTAATTTCATGTGTCTCTGCAGGGAAGAATTAACCTTTACACACTGATGCGGAGAGAGAGAGAGAGAGAGAGAGAGAGAGAGAGAGAGAGAGAGAGAGAGAGAGAGAGAGAGAGAGAGAGAGAGAGAGAGAGAGAAGAGAGAGAGAAGAGAGAGAGAGAGAGAGAGAGAGAGAGAGAGAGAGAGAGAGAGAGAGAGAGAGTGAGTGTGTATGTGTGCATGCATGTATGTATGTATGTATATATATATAAATATGTGTGTGTGTGTGTGTGCCTGCCCTATTTTAAGAGGCTGGACTTCAGCCATGGCTCTGAAGAGACAGATACTCTCTTTACTTTGATCTCTTTCCATCTTACACATACACACTCAGGCAAGGATGATGGTTGAGGGCCAGAGCAGTAACAAGTCCATGGATTATGTTACATTTGTGTGTGTAGGAGGGCGAGGAACTGATCCAGGAACAGCCTGAGTTGCGATCGGTGGTGGAGGTAAAGTTGAAGGAAATCAGAGAGTGCTGGTCTCACCTGGAGAACACCACCAAAGTCAAGGCTCGCCAGCTCTTTGAAACCCAGAACCACCGCACTATCGACCTGCCCACCAACAACCTCAGCGACCTGGACCAGCATCTCAACGTCATACAGGAGCAGCCACCCACACTAAGCTCCGCCCACACCACTCAACCCACCCTCCTTCAGCCCCGCCCCACTTTCAGCCAGCAACTCCAGAGGATACAAGTGAGACCAGAAACAGCCACTAAATGATATTTCTTGATTTGGCAAATTGCATGTCCATTTGTAATTTCACTTTATACTCATCTTTTAGTCGTTGGAAGCCCAAATGCAGCTTTATCATGGTGTTGGCGAAGTCAGGGGCAATGCTGATCCCCGGAGACCAGAAGTAGAAGAGCAAGGAGGTGTGGTGGAGACCCGAATTGTACGTCTTATTGAGCCTCTGAAGGAAAGGAGGCGGATCCTTCTTGCCTCAAAAGAAATGCACCAAGTTACCCAGGACCTGGAGGAAGAGATTGTGAGTATTTCTTTCTTTTCTCCATTTAGTTTGTGGTGCTTCCTATTACTATTTGCTCATTGAATTAAGTATAAAAATTTGCACATAATGCATATCTTAAATTATTCTGCTTGTTAAGAAGTGAAGTTATTACTTTTCTAAATAATAGAAGAGCAGAAAAAGGTCAAATAAATTCCAGCTTAATAATCACTTAGTTACTCACTAAAAAGCTAGGAATTAACTCTGAAATCCTTACAATTGCATAAGGACATTCTAAACAAACTTATAAACATAGGGCTGCACGATTTTGGGCAAAATCTAATTGTGATTTTTCTGATAAAAATTGTGATTGCGATCTAAAATGCAATTTTAAAAAAGTTCCAAGTCTGCTGTGCTTGTTTTTACTTTGGCTGTGAATATAGACCAATTTCCAGCCGACGTCACAGTTACGTCACGGCGCTAGCTGGTGGCAGAACAAAGTGAAAACTGGAGGCGGCAAATACAAACCAGCACAGATTCGGCTACAAAATAAGGATCTTAAATTATTCTTCTTATTATTAAATGTCATCTTGTTGTGTTGTTGGGTGCAAGAATCAATGAAAAATGAATATGCTTTATCTGCGATTTTTTATTTCTAGAAAATATTTACCTCATTAAAATTGCACCGTAATGTCACTCTTTACATTGTCGTCTTCATCGCGCTGGCTCGGCAGAACTACGGATCGTACACACAAGTCTTGTACTTGACCATTCAGCACATAGTTATAGGCATCTAAAGATTTACATGCCCTCTGTTTCTCTATCAGGTAGGTGTAGAAGTCAGGCCACTCAACCGGAGGTAGCGTTAACGTTAATCCTGTCAGATCCTCAATCAATGAGTGTAAGGGTCGGCCGGTTCCGTCCGTTAAAATTAACTTTTGCAAATAACAATCGCGGTCCTGGACAGTGAGCGACCTTGCACATTAAAATAAAATCGGATTTTCTCCAGTCATTGTTAAAAACAAGCTAACAAAACTTGCAGACTTTACGTTAGTGAAGCGGCCAGAGGATATCGTTCTGCCACCACCTAAGCTCCGCCCACAGAAAAACGTCACCATGTTTACCAACTGAAAATTGGTCTATAAATTTCACTGTGAAATAAAAAATAGATTATTTAAGAAAAATATTATAATTTTATTTTACAATATAACTGTAAAATTACAGTATTAAAATGATGTCTGTTTTCATTTATTAATTTTCAAACGTTCAAACGCCCAAGCTTTTATTTTGGTGAAAAAGCGGTTTTTATTTCAGTTTAATCATGCAACCCTATCAGAAAACCTTAACAACTGCATAGCTATTCCTTGGTAACTACTCACAAGTTCATGAAAAAAAATGATGTACTTTTACTATACCTAAAGCCCTCCATTTCTCTATTTTGTTTTTTTGTAGATATGGATTCAGGAGCGGTTACATTTGGCCTCATCTACAGAATATGGGACCAATCTGCAGAGTGTCCAGCATTTATTCAAAAACCATGAGGTGGGAGTTACAAACCTGTTGTCAGTAAAACTATTGTCTCTTTTTCTGAACTCTGATGTTGGACACAATTCTGGGACATTCTCAGACAGGTAGTAGTGTTTCTGTGATAAAGAATAAAGACAATCACTCTGGGATATGCTCTGTTTTTACAATTAGTCACACTAAAATATTGTGTTAAATTAACAGCTTTAATTTTAAGCTTTAAGTTTAATTTTAAGTCATTATAAATGCCAAAGAATGAACGCAAAATTTCAATCACCTACCCACATTTTTGTTGGAGAAAGTATCCATCTAAAAACGATTAGGAAAAAAAAGCTAAAAAAGCTAAACTTGCTTTGATCACAGTAATTAAACAGTCAATGCTGCTCTTTCCTTTGATACTTTTTGCCTTGTTTTGGGATACTAACTTCTGTAACTTATACATTGAACAATCATGTATGTTATTTGTACATTCATTAAATGATGTAAGAGGATATTTCCTGCCAACATTCCATAACTATAAGACTATAAAAGAGAGAGGAAGCAGAAAAAATAAGATAAATAAAATAAATAAGAGGTCTGGGAATTTATTTATCTCAGTGCTGTGTTGCAGGCCAACAGCCAAATAATATACAAATGGCTTGTGGAGTCTGTCAATTTGGATCGATTATCAGCTACATTTATAAAGGGCCATTTACACCAAGGACGATAACTGTACTGATAACTATGAGTTTCAATAATCTTTCTAATTCTATGAGAACAGGGATGCCCACAGCAGACAAGATAACTGCAGCGTGTGCTTATAATAAACAGAAAGTTATATTTCGTTGGTATGGATACTAATATGGTTATTGTTACAGCTATCTTTATAGTAATCATTCTTGGTGTGAACTTGCATTAAAAGCCAAACTAATAATTTATTATTAACTTCTTGTTTTTTGATATATCATAAGTCATTTTGCAGATTTCTGGATATTGTTGTGGTTTAAGACTGAGGATATGGTTTGGTTCTCATGGCTTCCAGTGATGAATTTTGATTGATATTTCACTTGTGTGAACAATTGGACATGTAGGCGCTGCAGATGGAGATGCAGGCTCGGAGAGGGCGAGTCGAGGAGGTGCTGGACAGGGCAGAGGCCGTTGCTGCCCTGAGGACCCCAGAGGTGGAGCTTGTGCGGGAGGGGGCGGGGCATGTGAGGCAGCTGTGGGAGGTGCTCCAGGTAGAGATGGAACGTCGCACAGTGATGCTGGATGCTGTGAGTCACGCCCAGCAGTACTATACCCAGGCAGCGAAGGCCGAGTCTTGGCTCAGTGGACAGAAGCTTCAGGTCCTCAATGAGGAAAACGGAAACGTATGTACTGTACCTAAAACTCAATCCATGTATCACTTAAATCAAGGGTTTTCAAAGTGGGTCCAGGAACTCCCAGGGGACCGCAAGGGAGTGCTACGGGGTCTGTGGATATTAAAAAAAAAATCTATAATAATATAAAAAATATAAATTGTATTTAAAAATAAATAAAAGTTTGATTACAGTAAATAAGTAAATAAATAAATAAAATAATTAAAAATTCTAATAATAATTAAGAAAATAAAAGAGCAAATAAATAAATAATGCATCTCTATGAGTAAAAGTAATAATTAAAAAAGTAATAATTAACTTAATAGAAAATAGATATTTAAAAATTTTTTTTTTAGACATTTATTATATACATTTTTCACAATATAAATTGGGCCTTTATGCAAGAAACTAAATAGATGCCTTTAAAATTATAGGATGGGGGACCCTCTCATGACAATAATCATATTTTGGGGGTCCATGGAATCTAAATGATTGAAATCCCATGACTTCATTTATGCTGTTTTTCATACGTCATTACTCAGCATTATTTAGTTAATGTATTACAGTGTGTTAATACACTGGCATGTGTATGTGTGTGTTTATTAAAAGTTTTCAGAATAGAGACTATAGTAGGGTTGTAAACTGTAGTTAATACAGTGTGATCTGTTTGTCTTTCACTTTGTAAACCAAGATATACTCTCTCTCTCTCTCTCTCTCTCTCTCTCTCTCTCTCTCTCTCTCTCTCTCTCTCTCTCTCTCTCTCTCTCTCTCTCTCTCTCTCTCTCTCTCTCTCTCTCTCTCTCTCTCTCTCTCTCTCTCTCTCTCTCTCTCTCTCTCTCTCTCTCCTCTTTTTAGGACGAGACCAGCACTCTTAGGTTACTGAAAGAGCAGTTGGCTTTAGAGCAAACAGTAGAGAATTATGCAGAGACAGTGGGCTCACTGTCCCAGCAGTGCCGTCGAATGCTTGAGTTGGGACATCCAGACAGGTAAATATAAATGTCTCATTTACACCAAGTCCAAATCAGGCACACTGCAACAAATCTCTTCCATGTTAATCTGAGTTTTTGGCCTAACTAGCCACAACAGTGGCAGGCTCTACATTTTGACGGTTTCTTGGTTTCTATCTCTGTTGTATTGTTCTGTGTAGCCCCTCCCACAGTAAAAACTAATTGGTCCAAAATTACATAGCCAAAAGCTGCATTTTACATATCAGTCAATCACTTGTTCTGATTTGCATAATCAAATATTTTATTGCGCTGTCCATAAGGCATGCTATACATACACTACCATTATTGTGGTCAGTATTTTTTTTTTAAAGAAATGAAAACTTTTATTAAATATGTATTAATTTGATCAAACTTGACAGAAAAGACATTTAAAATGTTTCTGTTCATCAAAGAATTCTGAAAAAGAATGTATAATGGTTTCATCAAAAATATTAAACAACTCAGCTGTTTTTAGCATTGATGATAATAAGAAATGTTTCTTGAGTACCAAATCAGCCTATTAGAATGATTTATGAAAGATCATGTGACACTGAAGACTGGAGGAATGGCTATTGAAAATTCATTTTTGCCATTACAGGAATAAATTACATTTTAAAATATATTCAAATAGAAAACAGTTAGACATTTTTATAATGATTTACAATATTACTGTTATTACTGTTTTTGATAAAAAAAAGCAACCTTGGTGAGCATAAGATACTTCTTTTGAAATAATGAAAAAACAACCAACCACAAACTTTTAAATGGTAGATTTATCGATTGGCAATAAATGGAGTGTGGCCCTCTTAGAATTGAACCTCTGTCTATCTTTTTCTTTCTCTTGCTTCTATCTCAGTGAGCAAATCACCAAACAGCAGGCTCACATAGACCGGCTGTATGTGTCTCTGAAAGACCTGGTGGAACAGAGGAAAACAAAGCTGGAGCAGCAGTACTGGTTGTATCAGTTGAAGCGAGAGGTGGAGGCACTGGAGAAATGGATCTCTGAGAGGGAGGCCGTTGCCAGCTCCACTGAATTAGGCCAGGACCTGGAGCATGTTACGGTATCACCAGCTCACACTTAACTCAGGGATGTAATATACTGACTTCCAGTCAAGATGAAATAAAAATGAACCCAAAATGAATTTGCTCTTCCACTGAAAGAATGTTCCTTTTCTGCTGACGTCCTTTAGACAGGAAATAATATTAACCAATAAACAAATGGCTGTTTAGGCAGTGTTTTAAGCTACTATTAAAAAAAATGTCCCGTCTTTCCCCATTGAATATTTTTTTTCACTCAGAAATGTCTCAACTTCTTTGAGCTCATCTCTGACATGTTGTTTTTGTGTTATTTAATTTTCTCAGGTTCTGCAGGGCAGCTTTACTCGGTTCTCCTCTGAGACACGTGCAGTGGGTCAGAAACAGATGGATTCTGTCAATAAGATGGTCAATGAGATGATTGACTGCAGTCACTCTGATGCTGCCACCATCGCCGAGTGGAAGGACGGACTGAACGAGTCCTGGGCGGATCTTCTGGAGCTCATGGAGACCAGGGCGCAGATGCTCGCAGCTTCGTTCCAGTTGCACAAGTTCTTCACTGACTGTCAGGAGGTATACAAGCACACATACAACCATAAAGCATGTTTTTTAAACACAATCACAGTTAATTAACATATTGAAGGATCATCAATGTATCTGTGTTTGTGTTTTGTAGGTGCTGGTCCAGATTGAGGGAAAGATGAGACAGCTGCCAGAGGTGAGGTCCTGTCAGGTGAGCTCGGCCAACCCTGGCACACTGCAGAGACTTCTGCACTCTTTCGAGCATTCCCTGCAGCTGCTGGTCTCGCAGGTAAGACTCACACTAACACACACTCACACAAAACAACAACACCTGTTCTGACCAGGTGCAGCCGCCACGATAAATAAGTGTTTAGGCTGGTTCGTCCTCCTGACCAAGCAAGGGGTGGTTCCCGTTTCAGCCGATGAGCACAATAACACTCAGAAACACAGTTACAACCATCACAGTGCTAAATACTTTAAAGTCGGCATGAAACGGAGTGAACCGGCTTTTCGAACAAGAAAAAATGTAGGATGGGACTTCATATTGTTAATTGGGAATTGATTGGATTGTTGTAGTTTGCTATTACTGTGATCTCATGTGAGTGACAGGTTGTCCCGCTCTTATGCCAGTAAACAAGTAAACAACGGAGGAGAGAAGAGGGAGAGGGAGAGGGAGAGGGAAGTTTTTTTGATTAAAGATTATGAGGGCACATGATTTAAAAAAAATATGTGTACGGGTAAATCATTTAATAATGTATATTGCTACATGTATATTCCATAAATACATAAAATTGTAATTTTTTTTAATTTCATAATGACTTTAACCAATCAGAATAAGTTAAGAGGGAAACAAGTAGCTTTTAATTCAATTACATTTAAATGATGGTTAGTTTTAGTTTTAAGTCAAATTATAATAAAAGCATTTGCTTAATAACAAATACCTTTGTTTTTACCTTTGCCCCCTCAGGTGCGCCAACTACAAGAAAATGCAGCTCAGCTGCGTGCAATTTACGCCGGGGAGAAGGCAGATGCCATTTTTTGCCGTGAGCAGGAAGTGATGCAGGCCTGGAAAGAGCTCCTCGTTGCATGTGAGGGCAGCCGTGTGCAGGTTACCACAGTAACCGATAAGATCCAGTTCTTTGCTGTGGTGCGAGAACTGAGCATGTGGATGGATGGAATCATGGGACAGATTGGCTCGACTGACGATGCCAGGTACCAGATCATTTATAGAACTATCGGAATCATCCTGAATATACCGTTGGATTTAAATTTGAAACCAATCATGATAGACAATGTTCATCAGGATAATGTGTGTGCATGTTTCTTGTTTGTGTCTGGGCGTGGGTTTCGGTGTTGGGTGGGTCCTTGTGTACGTGTCAGGGACCTCTCTGTGCTGGAGGGCATGATGTCCCAACATCAGATTTTGAAGAGTAAGATAGATAACAAGAGCAAGAACTTTGTGCATTGCGTGGAGATGGGAAAGATGCTGCTCGCTGCACGCAACCCTGCAGCTGAAGAGGTAGACACATACTCAAACACTGAACCATTTATGTGCACACCTTAAAGGGACAGTTCACCCAAAAATGAAAATTCTGTCATCATTTACTCACCCTCATGTTGTTCCAAACCTGTATGAATTTCTTTGTGAAGAATGAAGATATTTTGAAGAATGTTTGTAACCAACATGTTTGGTTACAAACATTCTTCAAAATATCTTTATTTGTGTTAAGCAGAACAAAGAAACTCATACATGAGGTTGATTAAATAATGACAGAATTTTTGAGTGAACTATCTCTTTAAAACATGCAAACGCATACATAAAATCAGAGAAAACCAAAGAATTACCAAAAAACTTTATTGTGTTTTAATCACTATGTATTTTAAAACTTTTGACTATTAACTATTGTTAAAAACATTTTTTTTTAAAGTGTCCCTTGATCCTTCAGAAATCATTTTAATATGCTGATTTGGTGCACAAGAACATTTCTTATCATTATCAATATTAAAAACTGTTCTGCTATATGTTTTTATTGAAACTGTGATAAATGTTTTTCAGGAGTTTTTGATGAATAGAAAAATCAAAATCTTTGATAACAGTGTAAATGTCGATTTTTGATCAATATAATGCATCCTTATTAAATAAAAGTATAACCCCCGCCGCACCAAAAAAAAAAAAAAAAAATCTGACCCCAAACTTTTGAACAGTAGTGTTAAGATCTAAGGATATAATTTTCTTCTTTTTGTTATGTGGCAGTCACATTAAATACATTTTGAAAGACAAAAAAAAGCAATTTTTTGGTGCTATTCTTCCGTGGCGCACCTCTGCATTGAATACACCCATTTTGTGCCCCTGCATAAAACATGGATAATTTGCCATCCGTGTTCTGCTCATAAATGATTACAATATTTATACCCTCTGATCCAGGTAAAGGAAAAGCTGGAATATGTCATGGCAAAGCAGAAAGACCTGAATGAGCGATGGGAACAGCACTGGGAGAAGCTTCAGCAAGGTCAGTGATAACTTTGTTGTAACATCATGTCAAATGTCTGCCAATTTAATCCTCCTTCAGAGTTATCCATAAGCTCTATTTGTGCCCTCCAGCCCAGCAGAGGCTGCAGTCTACCCAGCCAGGATTGGCGGAGCAGTCCTGGCTCACAATCAAAGAACCAATCACTCCAAACACTCGTGAGACAGGGGGCGGGACAGACGAGGTAGAGGAGCTGATTCGCCGGCATGAAGCATTCAGGAAGGCTGCAGCCACATGGAAGGACCATTTCAGCTCATTACGACAGGTCATTATGGAAACAAAGACTTATAAATAACATAAAATGAAGAACTAAACACTCATTGACTCTTTGTTTAACATTCTCTTTCTCCTCCATCTGCAGGCAGAGAAGATGAAGGAGGAACTGAACAAGCCACCTTCTACCTCCTCTCTCCTCAGCAGGCAGATGTTCCCTCTCTCCTGTCTTGTGCCCAGCTCCTCTTCCTCGTCCTCGTCCTCCTCTCTTTTCCGTAACCCTCTTCAGGACTCACTTCCGGAGTCTAAGCCTGGGCCGGACCTCATGCACGCCACAGAACACATGGTGGCACACACACTCGCTCAGCGGCTCGGGTCCACCCTGAACCCCTACACGCCCATTATGAATGGCTCCTCCTACCACGGGCTAAACCAGCCATCAGGGTTTGTGGTGGAGGGTTCTTTCTACCATGGGCTAAAACAACAGGGTGTTTCAGGGTTGGATAATTCCAGCTATCAGGGGTTAAACCAACAAGTTGGTGTCTTGGGGGTGAACAGCTCCAGCTACACTGGACTAAACCAACAGGGTGTTTTAGGAGAGGATGGCTCCAGCTACCATAGCCTGAACCATTTAGGTGCTGTGGGGGTGGTAGAGCCCAAAATAGGATATCCTTGGCAACACCTGAAAGCTGACTGCTTTCAGCCCAAAATCAACCACATTCACAAAGCTGTTTCACCTTTACTGGAGGCTCACCGAGCTCAGCTCGCCAGTGGAGGAGCAGGCGTCCCAGCTCCTATGGGCCTGGACCCCTCCCTGGAGATGATCCACAGCCGTTTACAAAGAGACCCCCGGGGAAGCCGCTCTGACCCGCAGATGGATCACCTGCGGCGGGAGAGAGAGTACCGGCTTGGCCGACAGACCTCCAGCGAGCAGGAGATCCAGGCGCGACTTAACGAGCTCCCGATGATTGTTAGGCAGGAGCGTTACCGTCGAAGACTGGAGAGACAGTCGTCCAGTGAGCAGGAGGCCAGTGGTAGGCAGAGAGTACAGAAACATGACTCCAGCGATGCAGAATCTGGGAAAGAGCCGTCCGACAAGAAACCATCTGGGTGAGTGTGTATATGTGTTTGTTTGGCTATAGTTTGGACCAAAACCTCCTTTCTGTGATGTCCTTAAAGATAAAAAATAATTCATAAATTAAGTAAAGGAAATGTATATTTATTCAATTCTAAAATGCATTAGCTTTTAGAGGTGTGTTTAGGGTTTGGGTTAATGTTAAAGATCCCCACGAGGAGAGTAAAACCTGAAGTCAGCCAACAGTTTCAATGAAGCTTAATAAACATACTAAGTAATGAGCAGTGCTGTACTTGTTAACTAAAACTATTAAAAAAATTGTTAATTGGAATAAAGTAAAGTATATAAATATTAGATGGAAAACTAAAATTAGAAATGTTTAAAACTGACAAAAGCACATAACACAATTACAAAACCTTAAATGGAAAAAAATATATAAAAACAAATGCTGAACCAAATATAAATATTTCTATAAAAATGTGTACAAAATAATACTGCATAATGAAATATACTGTAAATGATAATGAAAATATAAAAATGCTGAAAGTTTGCAGTGAGGGTTATGTCTATGGTTAAGATTTAGAAACTATAATGTCTATGGTTAAGATTTAGAAAGTATAATTAGTTCAATATAAAAGCATAGAAGTCAAAAGAAAGTCCCTACCATGAAAAAATAACAAATCTGTGTATGTGTGTGTTCTTATCTGTATATGGGTATCTAACTTCTAAGTTGGCTTTCTCATCTTTTTTAGGGAGAAGCGTTCCACTATGGCTGAGATTGTTGAGCAAGTGCAGGAGAGAGAAGCTTGCCATGTATGTGTCATGTGTCTGTACTGAATTTAATATTTGTCATAAATTTATTTCACATCATACATCACATTTCCCATCACCATTTTAATGCGTCCTCTAAACAATTAGTAATACACTACGTTCAAAAGTTTGGGGTTGGTACGATTTGTTATTTTTTTAAAGAAGTCTTTTCCAAGACTCACCTTTGAATATATTTTCAAATGTAATTTATTTCTTTAATGGCAAATCTGGTTTTATTAGCAACCGTCTTCCGTGTCACATGATCCTTCACAAATAAATTATAATATGCTGATTTGGTGCTCAAGAAACAATTCTCAATATTATCAATGTTGAAGACTTAAATATTATTGTGTAAACCGTGATACATTTTTGGATTCAGAATTCTTTGATGTATGGAAAAGAAAAAAATTGTAACCTTGTTAAAGTCTTTACTGTTACATTTAATCGATTTATTGGATCCCTGCTGAATAAAAGTATTAATTGCTTTATAAAAAACTTGCTGACCCCAAACTGATTGGTAGTGTATGTTCAGGTGTTTCTCTTTACTTTTAAATCAGTCCACACACCACTGATTTAAAGGTTTAGGATTTTTGTGCCATTTGTATCATTCAAAGTCGAAATAAGAGTAGACTTACTGCAGGTACAGTGCCTCTGGAGTATCCCAGTCTTGCTCAAGGGCACAGTGGTGATAGAGCAGAATTGTGATCTCAGCTCAGACTTTATACATTTAATTAGTTAGGTAAGACTGATCTTATGCAAACTTTGATTTAGCTGTATGCAGATATAAGTGAAAGTGTGGTACAGTATGTGCATATATTTTTATAAGCAAAGAAAGCACTTGAATGTCATGCAAAACACACCTAATTTTCATATACACATTCAGTATCAACAAACGGTTCGTACATGCACAAAGAATATCTTCTTTTTCAGGCGAAGGGAGAGGCGTACAGACCATCCAGTAGCCTCTCTGCACCAGGGAGCCGTCTGGATCGCCCTCGAGCTCGTGACCGCCCCAAACCACGGCGAAGACCTCGTCCAAAAGAACCCGAAGAGCCACGGAGGTCCCGCTCTGCGCCCGCTCAGGGTGGCCCATCCACACCTCAGCCTCCTACCCACACTGTCCATCACGAGGGCTTCTTGTACAGGAAACACGAAGAGGAAGGGAAAGAGAGAAGCCCAAACAGGTTTGTTTCTTACTAGCTGCTAATGACTAGTAACTGATTGCAATGTCCTGAAATGATCTTAAGCTTTATTCATGATTTTTTTTTTTATCATTATAATCTTATGAATAATCTAAATGCTTTTCATCGCTACTGCTAATACACTAGAAATCATGTTACCTAGCTATTAGCTAATTATGTTAATTTTATCCACAAATAACACTGTGTTCAGAATAGCATACATATTGTTAGATAGTAAACAAACACAGTCTGCAAGTATAAATTACATGAATTGATGTACATTAAATTGTTGCTGCATGACTTGCAACCTGCAACTTTAAAAGCTAGAGGTAGATTACATTCTGGTACAGTAAATGATGTACATTGAATGAGCTCTCACTGAATATGATGAATTCAGTGTGATATTAACCCTTTTTACATACTTAAAATATACTACGTGCAGTATAGGGTTAAGTTTATATATGGCATACTGAGGTTCATTTCAAATGTAATATTTAATTTAATTTAATTTATTTCTTTATTTGATCAGGGAGAATGCACAAAAAAACATTAGTCTAAAGAAGAAGAGATGTCATGTGCCAGGTTATAGCAATACGAATAGTCAAAGATGTAATATTCAAGATTGTGGGAGCAAATTTATTTTTATGTCATTTAAAACCCATTTTGATCAAACGTTGTTCTGAATATTGGGGACTGGGGGTCATGGCCCTGTGAATAGTAGTAATGCTGTTCTGAGTGTGCTTGTCTGATAATAACAATACCAAATGCCTTGGTATGGCCTAATAACTCAAAGTTATTTCTAACCTTTTGCACCTCCTGCAGCAAGTCGTGGGTTAATATGTTCTGCGTACTCAAACAAGGGGAGATCGGTTTCTACAAGGACGCACGACACAAGACCACACCCTTCAACGACGAGCCACTTCTCAACCTGGCCATCTGCGAATTTGACACTACCAACGGATACAAAAAGAAGAAGAATGTCTTCATTCTCAGGTACAACTGATCTTTAATAATGCTGCTTTGCCTGCTAATCTACAAAAAAAAAAAATAGCAAACAACTATGCAGGAAATGCACTTTCAAACAACATTCCATTAAAGACCTGATGCTTTTTGAAGTTTTTGTGTTGATTTATTTTCTATTGAAATACTGAAGGATTGACTTAATGTTTAATTGTTTTATTTTTTAGAGGCTTTATTACACTACTTTTCAAAAGTTAATAAGAATCTTTTTTAAACAAATTAATACTTCATTTCAGCAAGGATGCATTCAATTGATTAAAAGTGACAGCGTTTATATTTTTACCAATAATTTCTATTTCAAATAAATGCTGTTCTTTTGAACTTTTTACTCTTTCTGCAGAATATTGGGGAAAATGTAGCACAGTTTACACAAAAATATTAAGCAACACAATTGTTTTCAAAATTGATAATAATAAGAAGAAATGTTTATTGAGCAGCAAAACAGCATAATATAATGATTTCTGAAGAACCATGTGACACTGAAGACTGGAGTAATGATGATGAAATTACAGGAATAAATTACATTTTAAAATATAATAAAATAGATAAGAAACTTACAAGCAAAACATTTAAAAATCGAACCGACTCCAAACTTTTGGACGGTAGTGTACAGTACCGTATGTCACAGCCAACTTTCCCAAACATATTAACTTCATATGATCTTCCCCTTTTAACACCTTTTCCATATATATTTATGTGTTTCTAATTTATGTGTTTCTTATTTTCAGGACCACTGCTGAAGGGGACTACATCTTCCTGGCTAAGGATGAGGTAAAGACAAAGCCCCATCTGAGTGAAAAAGATCAGAGTATTTTGTCTATTGTGGCCCTATTACAATTGTGTGTATGTTCTGTCTCGCAGGAGGATCTGAAAGGTTGGGTCAACAGTATCAACGCAAGCCTGAAAGAGATCGAGGACATTGCCAAGTGGGAGAAAGCCACAAACTCCTCAACTGACCCCGACAAATCAGAGCGCAAGGAGCGTTCTGAAGGGGCGGAGCCATTGGAGGGGGCGGAGAGATCAGAGAGGTCAGAGAAGTCTGAGCGTTCAGACCGATCAGATAAAATAGAGGCATCGGACAAAAGCTCAGAAAAGAGGGACGCATCTGAGAAAGAAAGAGGAGATAGAGGTGAAAGGGAGGCGAGAGAGAGGGGCGAAGGAGGAGACCGGGGTTCCAGGGGTTCCAGGGGTTCCAGCACTTCGGGGAAAAGCAAATGACTCATCTCTCGACACGTTTATTTACTCATCCATCCCTCCATCTTTCCAGAGAGAAGACAGGACTTGCATTTCTCTGTCTCTGTCGCTCTGTTTGTCCTGACAGCCTGATTCCAGGACAGATGTAATTGATTATGTCCCTTGAATGTGTCGATGTGTGTCTGTGTGCGTGTGCCAATGTGTTGAAGAGAACGTCTGTGAAAGAATCAGTATATGAACGTATCCCAGCATCAGAGGGCCCGTTCAGCCGCCCTGCTCGACTCTCACAGAAAAGGCACTTTAGATTATTGAGGATGACTATAGCCCTTAATATTTTAGAAGCGTTTTCTTGAAGCAATATATTGTATGTAGTAACCGATGCCGCTTGTTTTAGCTGCTCTGCTCTGCTCTTCCAAGCGAGTGCGAGAGAGAGAGAAAGTGACAGAGAGGACTTTCCGAGAGAGAAATCTGGTGCGGTATTAGGATCGACATCCTTACACAGCCCCACACATGCATACGCACACGCACTGTGCATTATGGGAAAATGTTCGGTATGGAACACCATTCTCTCACCTGAGGCCGCACACGTCTTCCACCTGCTGCTCGTAGTAATGGTTTTAATCATGTGAGACGCTTCACAGTGCTGAGGTTACCGTGATTCAGTCCAAACTACACTCGACGAAGTCTCAGTCACAATACGTGAATATAATGTGGCAGTGTGTGTGTGAATACAGCTCCATCCAGAAGGAGCTCAAATGTACTATGTATAATCTCATTGATCGTATTTATTAGGTTATCGTGATACGAATTTAAAGTGCAAGGTTATTCTTCCCTGAACTAAGAGGAAGTACGATCAAACACCCCCCGTACGTGTACAAATATGCTGCTTTTTATCATCTCTGCCCCCCTACATCACTCTTTGATTGTAAAATTAGTACACATAAAATAGGGTGTCTGTGATTTTGTCATGCTATAAAGAAAAAGATTGTATATATATATATTTGTATATATACTAGTAAACGAGATTTACTTCTATGAACTGCAGCGTCTAATTACAAAAAAAAAAAAAATCATTTTTATCAACTTATGAAAATGTAACAAGTTAAAAGTTGTTTTAAAGTGCCCCTGGCTGAATTTAGACGGTAAACATGCGCGTTAGCCGAGATCTCTTGCATATGGAAACGCAACTTTTACTGTTTACGGTTTGTTTTTTGGCCAGGGCGAAAGATCAGGATTCTTGTAAAAAGAAATCACCATTAAAATACTCATCCGAAACTGTTTTGTGTTTAATTTAGATGTCAAGAGAACTGTCTCTTGACAGCAGTTGCAATTAATATTGACAAAGACAATGATATTCCCCCTAAAATAGTTCAAATATATATGTGCAAATTATATTTACACAGATATGATACAAACTAAAATATCAAAGTAAACAAATCATTTTGGTGAGGTCAAGCTTTTCCTCTCTGGCTCTGTTTTCACCACACAAATCTTAACTTCTGAGTTTAAACTCTAACTGACCTCACTGTCTATGCAACAAACTACTTCTGTGAATCTAAATCTGTGAATAATCACATTCATAATCCAACACTGTCAACAAACCTCTGCTTGGAAGATCAACAACATTAGGACTCATCTGATGGATTTTTGTGATGGTTTTTTCTCACTGTGGGTGCCTTATGAATGCATGTAATAAGCAGTTGCAGGCACTTCCTCCAGTATTATGTTCCAGATAAAACATGCATTATTATGTTTTGATCACAGAAAGCATTGCTTACAGACACTTGCCCCCTGATCAGATCCAGTTAAACATGCAACATTGCTGTCACATGACACAAAACAGCCCCTTATGACAGCAGAAAACAGTCATGCACCCTCCAGACTGGCTTAGACTTAGTGTGATGGAGTCAAATCTGGTTCTGATTGAATTCTTCTTTGATTATAATGTCATAGAAACTACATAAACGGGGACTACACTTGTTTTGCACTATGTATCTGTGACTGATAAATGGGATTGAATGAATGTCTGTATGTCTCTGTCTTGTCTTTGCTGAAGCAAACTCACTCCTGACAACCAGTCAACCAACTCCCCCTCCCAAAGCATAGCCAAAAACTATTTAAAATCATCTGACTTCACTTTCGGACTCTTCTACATATCCAACATTTGTTTCAGAGTGACCTTGACTATGGTCTACCTGCAAAAAGCACAATTTCTCCCTAAACAACAATCTGGAGTATTAAAAGACACTGGATGCTGTCCTACACCATGACCCCTGCATTTCCTAAAGTTGCCACATGAGGTCAGTGTTGCAAAGTCATTGCAGTGCTAAAATATTTTATTTGAACTCTTCGGGGGTTTTTTAACCCAGAAACGTTGACAGACAGGGTCACTACACTGCATATTTATCTGTGATTTTTAGACCATGTAGTCAGTTTTTGGTTTGCCAAGCCTTTCTTTGTTTCTTTGGCAGTGCCACTCACTTCTCTCCCCAGCTTGACCTCACCAGCAAGTCTATATTTTAAATCATTTCTGAACAAATGGAAAAAAGAAAAGAAAATCAAGCCCTAAAATAGACAGAGAGATTGTGGTTTGCCCTTCTTTATTCAAAGTCAGTTGTTTCACACATTAAATTAAAGAAAAACTATTAAGTTGCATGAAAGAGAATATAGAGGTGATTTCTATGCAACAGCTGTGCATGTTTATCAAAAGGGTTTCAATCTTCAGCAAAGCACTGGGTTTGGATGATGATGATGGAGATGGAGAAATGAGTGGAATGAGCAGATCACTTGTATAGCTGAAATGAGACATTAAATCATTTATGTACTGATATCTGCACTACTTCATAAATACAGGTTGTATATATCAGTGTGCTGTGGCGTTTTGATTTTGGTGACTGTGTCTTATTTGCAGGTGTGTTTAAATGATATTTTTTCATCTATAGAAATTGAACTGCAAAAAAATTGGCCCTTTACTAATGATTACTTTACAGTCCACTTTTAAAGTACCTTTACATTTAAATAATAATTAAAAACCCTTCACAGATAACTTCAAAAGAAACATCTTTAAAAGACATGACTGTAAGTGTGTAAATAAAGAGAATGCATTTTTTTTTTTAAAGAGAGTGTCTCCGAGTTATATTTTAAAGCTAACATCTAGCCACGATGTAACTTCTCAAATGATTTCACTTTCTGACTTCTATACTGTCAGCATTTTCAAGTTAGCATCTATCTACAAAAGCTGTAGTTAGATACATCTATACCTCATATGAAAAAGACAAAAGTAAAAGTGTGGAGTCACAATGGTCATGAAAATGTATGTATTTTGACCTGGTGGAACAAACACCTTTGAACACTGTAGGCAAAATTTGCAATAAAGCAATAAAACATCCATTTCATACTTAAACACTTGTTGATATAATAACGTTTTATATCTCTTAGATTTCAGGCAAATATTAGAGGACAAGACACGTCCAGAAACATAATTCATCTGTACTTAACATGACATATTAAACTGCTACTTCATTCATATCACATGGTTTGTTATAATCAGACTATTTTTTAATTGCACACTTAATATAAACCTTTATTCACACTGCATGCACAGCATTGCAGTAAGCAGTGGTGGACAGAGTGACAGGTGTGTACTGTTCCTCAGAGTCTTTTTTTTCTTCTTCTTTTTTTATCCACAAAACAAACTCTTCTAATTTGCTGGCTTCATTGTCTTTTTAAAAAAAGAGAAGAGTTTTAAAGTTTAAAGTGTGTTACTGAACATTAGGACATACAACAAACAGAAATCATATGCATCCATTTTTTCATGCAGAAAATGTTTTTTTTTTACTTTAGTGATTTTAAATATGTAAATTATAGTTAATCTATACTTACAGTACTGTGACATGGATGTATTTTGACATGTTTTCCTCCCCTGTAAGAGATGGATTACAACATGAGCTTACGAGTGACAAGGTTTTCAAATGATACATTTAATGGCAGTTTTCATATTTTGAAGCATCTTGTTAAATACCTGCTCTATTAACCAGTTCACAGCTTTGTCAATTTCATCTGAATTCTTCTGACACTCCAGTAATCCTGTATCCTCATAGAACAGACAGTCCACAGTAAGAATGTCTGTCCCATTGACACATCTGCTGCTGTCTGGTACTGTTCTCTCTCTGGGTCAAACGTGTGATGAAGCACCACTAGAACAACCAGCTTAGAGTCTGTTCAGGAAATAGACAAATTTGTCTAATGACCTCACCATAAAAACTTCATACTCCAGAATATTCTGAATGATAAAACATTATTTATTACTTAAAATAGAGAGAAAATATATTGAAACAACCTGTCTTGCCATTGAATCTTTTAAGTGCTTAATCAATATCAGTTCCAGTCCGGGAAACAATAGGACAGAAAACGTCTCGGTTACGTATGTAACCCTCGTTCCCTGAGTAGGGAACGGAGATGTTACGTCGAAATGATGACGAAATGGGGGTTTCGCTTAGAAGCCTATCACCTTCGAGTGTTAAAAAAACGAGCTAATGGCAAAGAAATGCCATGGGTCTGCGGAATTTGCATAGCGTAACTCCGCCCCAACTCGTGGGTATATAAGGAAGAACGCTGGCAGAATGCAGACATATTTCCCTGCTGAGGAGCCAAGACTGAGCTCGGCGTTCCAGCAGAACAGCGGAAGTGTCAGGAAGACGTAACGTCTCCGTTCCCGAAGGGAGGACTTAGGAATACACGTATGGCCCGAGAGAGGGTAGCATACGGAAGAACACTGGAGTATCCAGCCCGTAGGGTGAAATCTTTCAACTCCAGGAGTGGCAAGGTGGCTTGCCGAGGGAAAGACACATGCTCAAGGAGGCTTACAGTGGAAATACACACGTGGGGGTCACCCAGCGGGGGAACCATGCACATGGAGGCACCTAGCCAACTGCGAAAGCTGCCGTGGGCATAACCTTGGCGTTGACGTCAACAGTGCGGGAGGAACTCAGGGCTTCTCGGGGAAACTCACCTGAGGAGAATATCGCACGTATCCAGTCCGTGGAGTGGAATGGCGATCAAGCGAAGAGAGCGCAAGAGCCCAAGAGGAAGCCACACTCCGGGTGGAGTGGGCTTTCACACCGAGCGGGCACGGTCGACCTTGCTGCTGGTATGCCAAAGCAATGGCGTCCACTATCCAGTGAGACAACCTTTGCTTGGAGAGAGCCTTTCCCTTCAGCTTCCCACCATGACAGACAAAGAGCTGGTCTGAGGTCCTGAAACACTGCGTCCTGTCTACATAGGCACGGAGAGCGCATACTGGACAGAGCAGTGCCAAGGCTGGGTCTGCCTCCTCCGAGGGCAGCGCTTGCAGGTTCACCACCTGGTCCTGAAAGGGAGTGGTAGGAACCTTGGGCACATATCCAGGCCGGGGTCTCAGGATCACGTGAGAGTTAGCCGGCCCGAATTCCAGGCACGCTTCATCAACGGAAAATGCCTGCAGGTCCCCTACCCTCTTGATGGAGGCCAATGCAACCAGGAGCGCTGTCTTCATCGACAGAAACTTAAGCTCCACTGATTGCAAGGGCTCGAAGGGAGCACTCAGCAGGGCAGTTAAAACCACTGAGAGGTCCCAAGAGGGTACGAGAGGAGGACGAGGAGGATTCAGTCTCCTCGCTCCTCTCAGGAACCTGATGACCAGGTCGTGCTTCCCAATGGACTTACCCTCAACTGCAACATGATGTGCGGCGATAGCGGCAACATAAACTTTCAGGGTGGAGGGAGACAGCCTTCGCTCCAACCCTTCTTGCAGGAAGGGAAGCACGACACCAATCGGGCATATCGTGGGGTCTTCTTGGTGAGAAGAGCACCAGTTGACGAAGAGGTTCCACTTCAACGCATAGGCATGTCTCGTGGACGATGCTCTAGCGGAAGTGATGGAAGCCACCACCGCTGGTGGTAGGGTACTCAAACCTACCTCATCCCGTCCAGGAGCCACACGTGGAGGTTCCAAAGATCAGGACGAGGGTGCCATAGGGTGCCCCGTCCCTGAGAAAGGAGGTCTTTCCTCAGAGGAATTGGCCAGGGAGGTGCTGTTGTGAGGAGTACAAGTTCGAAGAACCAGGTCCGGGTGGGCCAGTGGGGCGCAACCAAAATGACCTGCTCCTCGTCCTCCCTGATCTTGCACAGGGTCTGTGCGAGAAGGCTCACTGGGGGAAACGCATACTTGCAGAGGCCCTGCGGCCAGCTGTGAGCCAGTGCATCCGTGCCGAGCGTGCCCTCGGTCAGGGAATAAAACAGGCTGCATTGGGAAGAGTCGTGGGAGGCAAACAGATCTACCTGAGCGTCCCCGAACTGTTCCCAAATCAGCTGAACCGACTGGGGATGGAGTCGCCATTCGCCGGAGAGAGGCTGAATCCGTGAGAGCTCGTCGGCTGCACAGTTCAGGTCTCCTGGAATGTCAATAGCACGAAATGACCTCAGATGCATCTGACTCCATAAGA